TTGTACTTAAATGGTGCAGGAGCTTTGCAGAGTTCAGCTGAGGGTGACTGACTCTGCAGTTCCTGAAGTGGCCTGTGAATGCATGTTTGAGCTTTCTCAGATACAAAGAAAACTGCTCTCCTTGCTTTCTACTAATATTTTAGCCAGAGACCAATGCAAAAACTATAAAACCACAAATTGAGTTAATTTTACACTTAAGAAATCCAAGGCCAGAAGGGATCAGTTAACAACTTGTATGTTGTTGCCTTACTAAGTAGTTTTTGTTTGTAACCAAAGCAACTTGTATTTGCTTCTGGAAATACATTCTGTCTCACTTGACATTAAAAGAAAGGAAGTTCATTACTTCTTCTGGTGTCTAATTTCAATCCTTTTCCTTGGCATTTCAGACAATCTGGACCTACTATCTAGGTCTTGGCACTTAAGGCTCTACTATATTGGATCAAAAGACTTCTTGAATCCATGACTTCCTTAGCTGGTAACTGAGCTATACAGAACGTCTGTGTAATGCAACATAGGTAGTATAACTAATCAAGTCACCCTCACTCATCATCTTGTTTAACTAAATTAAGACCTCATGCTCTGAGGTGTATTTTCATGTCTGAATGTTTTACGAACCAGCTTGAATTTTTTTTTAACCTCCTTCAAATGCAGTGCAATGAATTTCACTTGCTGAAAACTATAATGAAATATTCATGTTGGGCAGGGAGCTAAAATCTCCTGGAAGGAGAGAGACTGTTTTTCCCCTTTGCTTTTCCTTTAGCTTAGCTCCTGCAGAAGCCTGAGAGGCCCAAAGTGGGCAATTTAGAGACATTATCTATTTAGAGAACTGTGGACTTGGGAACTTGCTAGAGGATGCAACTTGGAACCAGGCATTTCATGCAGAAAGAAAAAAAAAAAATCTCTTAGGAGGCAGAGGAAGGGTAGGCCTCTGGTTAAGACAGCTGGATTAGTGTGTGAACCCCTGCTTTTCCCATATACTGCCTGAATGACCTTGGAACCACTGTGCTTCTCTGTGGAGCAAGATTATGTTCCCTCCTGTCCTGGATTGAAAGTCTGTATTCCATTGCCATCTGCCAGAGCTGGGGCATTCTCCACTGTTCTTTGGGTAGTTTTTTCTTTATCTCTCCCACAGCCAATCCTCCTTCCAGGAGATCTCTGCTGTCCATGGCCACTGAGTGTCCCTGCATGGCTGAGAAAATTCCATCATCCATGGGGAGATGCTGTGCCCAGGGGAGGAGCCAACATTCCTACCTGGATCCAATCTGACCTGGGAACAGCACAGCAGCCTCTGCCCCCTGCATTCCCAGAGGAGCAGCTTCCTTCCCCTGCATTCCCAGGGGAGCAGCTTCCTTCCCCCTGCATTCCCAGAGGAGCAGCTTCCTTCCCCCTGCATTCCCAGAGGAGCAGCTTTCTCCCCTCTGCATTCCCAGAGGAGCAGCTTTCTTCCCCCTGCATTCCCAGAGGAGCCCAGGCCCATCTCCCCCAGCCCTGGAGCTCCAGAGGAAAACTCCCCCCTTGTGCAGGATCCTGCTCCAGCAGAAGCACAGCTGGCACTGCAGGAGGCTGAGCCCCCCTGGGATGGGGCTGAGCCACCTCCCTGACACACAGGGGCCAGGGCCTGCTCTGACTCTGGCAGTGGGGTTTTGTATTACTGCACTGTTTATATTTTCTTTTAATTTGTTTTTCTTAATAAAGAACTGTTATTCCTATCCCCCCATATCTTTGCCTGAGAGACCCTTAATTTCGAAATGATAATAATTCAGAGGGATGGGATTTGCATTTTCCATGCAGGGGAGGCTCCTGCCTTCCTTAGCAGACACCTGGCTGTTCAAACCAAGACACCTCCAGTCCCATCCATACTGCCTTGTGTGCATCAGGCTCAAGCAAGGATGGCCCAGACCATGGCCTGGGCACACCTGACAGGAGATGTGCTGCTTGGCCCAGCTGTTTTCATCTCCAGAGAAAGAGCAAGTGGCTTGGACAGAAGTTTGGGTGTGCTGCAGCAGGTGAATGTGGGCTCTGTAAAACCTGTGTGTCTGCAGGGTGGGACTGGAGAGCTGCTGCTGCTGTGTGTGCAGAGCTGTGCTTGGACATGGGGCCAACAGCTGGGAAATCCTGAAACTGGGCTCCAGCAGCTGGAGCTGTCAAGAGTGGATGGCCCCTTGGGGATGTGAAGCTGTTATCTTGGAGAGTTTACCATAATGTGGCAAAGCTCTGGGTGCCAGGATTAACCAACACTCATTCCAGCACTTCTCATAGGAATAAATCCTCCTTTTTTTGGTGACATTTCAATACCATTCTGCTAACAGCAGCATCTTGGATGGTAAAAAATGTAAGCTGTGTTACAGACAGGAACCAACTGCCTGCTTAGCAGAGATTTCCTGCATGATGTCCATGCACTCCCTAGACCTGCTGCTGAGGCCTGGGCTGGTTTTATTCTTCTACCCCTTAAATTGGAATAGAGACTGAAACATTTCTTTGGAGAGGGAGACCACAGAGAGCTGCAGGATACTTGTTAGTGGGAGATGAAAAAAGATGCAAGTTGATTGGTGTGATTTAAAAGCTTGATCTTGCCTCCTGGCCAGGGGCTCTGATAAAAGACCTGGGACATGATGCCAAGAGGTTGGAAAGAGGTTTGAACTCCAAGTCCTCCCAGATGACCTGGTCTAACAAGGAGCATTTTTCCCTGTAACAGGTGTGATTGACTGACATACAAAGAGAGGGGAAAATGAGCCCTTCCTTCCATTATTCTCCACCTGAATATCAAACAAGAGGGGTCCAGTTAGTGTGCTGCCTCTCTCTCCTTTTACAAGGCAGTGCACTGTCAGATCAGATGCTCTGTTTGTATTACTTTGGAATGGAAAAGAGTAAAGGCAGTTTCTATAAAGAAGGACTTGAAAAGGCTTCCCTGGTTTTTCATCAGAGCTGTTGGAAACTCTCCTTCCCCACACTGCCCCTTCTCCAGTCCCACCCCCAAAATCCTCACCTCTTCCTGCCTTTGTCAGGCAAGTGTCAGATTTGACACATTTGCACTAAGGTACAGAAATGCAAATGGACACATCCAGCAACACCTAATCAGAACATGTAAACTTTCTGTGAACCTAATTTGTGGATTAAAAAAAAAAAAAAGAAAAGGCCATATTGCTACCACATTTCTAAAATGCTTTTGACACTACTGAAAAGCTCCTCATAGTACTGCTGACCTGGCTTTTCCACCAGTAGAGCACCAGTAAGTGCTCAGGGAAAGGGCTGGAATCCCCCTGCTCCTCCCAAGCACTCCAGCTTTGGGAGAGCAGCTGGCCAGGTGCCTCCCAGCCCTGCTGCCTGTTCTTCCCACAGCAGAGGGAAGGGGCTGTGCTGGGAAGGCTCCCCTGGCTCTGGGAAGGGCAGCAGCACACGCAGGAATGGGGAAGGCAGCAGGTCCCTGCTTTGGCTCCCATCTCCAAGGCCAGTACAGGGAAGCTGAGCACCACATCTGCAGTGCTGCTGAGCAGGGATGATTTTGCTTTGAGCTGCCCCCAACCCCTGCTGAACCAAAGGTGGCACTTGCATGGTGACTCTGGGCTGTGTTTCTGCCACCAAAGTGTCAGGATGTGCACCTGCTTTCACAGGAGCATTACAGAGAGCCCTCACACGAGGCTCTTCCATCCCAGGGAGATGAAGCCAAGCCCAGCTGTCTCTGCTGCTCCTGCAGCAGTGGAGGCTGCCAGGGGCCAGGACCAGCCCTGCATGTCACTGCTGAAGCCACTGAGCTCAGGCTGGGCTCTGGCTGCTGCTGTCACGTTCAGGAGCTGGGCTGGGGCCTCAGCTCCTTCTCAGGGGCCTTTTCCAGCCACTGGACACGAGGGGCTCTGGCTGAGCAGGGACACACCACGCTGAGGGGCTGCGTGTGAACTGTCCTGGAGTGACAGGCATCTCTGAGCTAAGAGAGAAGAGTGACATAGCAAACAAAATGTGAGACCTGAGGGAAATTGATACCAATAAACCTGGACTTGGGCTGGAGAGGTGCAGCCTCAGTCCAAGCAGGTGTGTAGGGTGTTAGTTCAGTGCAAGTGTCCCAGGTTTCATTTACACTTCAAACCCCAACCTCCCTCCCTAAAGCAGAAAGGTCACTGCAGAGGCTCTCACCTCCCCTGGCTCAGCTGGTTCTTGCCACTCTCCTCCAGCTCAAAGGGAATTTAGCACAACAGAGAAGGACCAAACATTCTGATGGACACCTTTGAACAAGAACACCCACATCAGGTAAAGAAAATTACAAAGTCCTTGCCAGTGCTTCAATTTCTATTTTTGTTTTTCCATGGGGTTATTAACATAGGTACATGTGTAGTCCCTTGGTCACTGCTTCCTTTATTGCTTGCTCTATGTTTGAGAACTTCCATGTATTAAGACACTTTACAATCCCATTTTCCCCCTCTTTACAATGACAGCTCTCTGAAAGGTATTGTATCACAGCAGGAATAACCTTCCACCTCCCCAAAGCAGGAATCAGGATAAGAATGCTGAGGGATCCCCTCCAAGCCCCCAGAAACATTAAAGAACACTTTTCAAATCTACTGCACACTCCATTCAATAGTCTTATTTCACTCTCCACCAACAAAAAAAAACCCCAAAAAGCAAACCACCCTCCTGTGAAGTTCTGCCCCAGGACAGGATTTGCCTAGCACTTCTGAAGTTAGGGCTGTGCATGTGTGAGCAACGCCTTCAGAGGGCAGATCAAGTAGAACAGGCTTGAGCCTGGCATCCCGACCAACCAGCCTCAAACTCTGTGGCCTAGGACCAACCTCAGCCAGTCTGACCTTGCTCATTCAATAAACTTAAGTGTCAACTAGAATTAGACAAAAGAAATATTTGAATTCCAATAGTTAACAATGCTTAGTACAATAATTGAGTGCTTAATTACCAGCATTGTTTCCATTATATACTGGTGTTAAGAGCCAACAAGAGGAGCTGTATTTTTAATGTTTTTAAACAGTTAGAAGAGTACCACATTACACAATATATGCCACGTTGTGAATTCAGGGTTTTTTTTATTAAAGATTAAAAATAAAAAAAAACATTTGACACCCTAATATACATAAAGTCACAATAAATTCAAATGTGCTAAAAGCAAAATGTGCATAAAGACACTCGTTTCTAAAAGGCACCCTGTCACCAACATCTTTTAAAACGTCTATTTCCACCAAGTTTCTAGTTTTCTCTCCCTTTGCTAAAGGTGAGACTTTAGGCTGCTATCAGGTACAGACACCTTTCAGGGGTCTATGCTATCACTAGAACGCTTAAAACCGTGCATGCAGACTTAGCTCCAGCTTCTCTCGGCATTAACTATCACGATTTAAAATGCACAAGGGTTTTTGCTCAAAAGGTAGTGGTGTTTGGGCCGCTTCTAAGGGCCAAGAAGAAACAGAGTTATAACTGCTGTGTCTCCACCAGAGAGCTCTGCTACTACAAACCACTTCCCTCCTCCCCCCCCCCCCAATCCTCTCGTAAAAAAAACCCCAAAAGTTACAAAATGCCACACACGGGGGATGAAATGTTAACGCGTTCCCGATTAGGCTGTCAGGGTGCGACAGCATCAGTGCCGAGTCCGCAGCGACAGCGCTGCCAGCCGCGCACACACACACAGACAGACACACAGACACTCACACGGGCAGGCAGGCACACGGACACACGGACACCCACACCGAACCGCAGGCAGGTCGCGCTGACTGCGCTCCGCTGTTACCAGGGTCTCCACATGGATTTGGGCGAGCCGGGCGAGGGCAGGCCCCGCGTCAGGGACGCCAGCAGTCCGTCCGTGTCGGTCTGGCCCGGGCCCGAGCGGGTCTCGGCGCCGGGGCCGGGCAGCGCCGGGCCCGGGCGGGCTGCGGCCGGCGGCACCGGCGCCCGGCCGGCGGGCCAGGGCCCGAGCGCCGGCTCCCCGGCAAGGTCCGTGAGCGAGTCCGGGCAGCCGCCCTCGCTGAGGGGCATGGACTCCAGCAGGTGGTTGAGCAGCTCGGCCGCCGTGGTGGCGTCGATGCCGGGGCAGCTGGAGACGAAGGTGTGCACCTCGTGCATGCACTGGATGTAGCCGGCGGCGAAGCGCTCGCTGGCCTCCAGGAGCCGCCGCCCGGCCGCTGCGGCGCGGGGCGCAGCGAGGGGCGCGGGCGAGGCGCGGGCCGGGCCGGCCGCCCCCCGCCGCCCCCCGGGCCGGCACTCACCGCGGGCGCGGCGCTCCAGCGCGGCCCGCACCCGCCGCACCGTCCGCTCCAGCACCTCCGCGTTCTCCAGCTTCGCCTGAAACTGACCCGGGGCGCCGCGGCCGTCAGCGCGGCCCCGGGCCCCGCCGGCCCCCGCCCCGCCGCGCCGCGCCGCCGCCTCACCTCGCTGTCGGCCAGCAGCAGCCGCAGCTCCCGCAGGCTCTCGTTGATGCGCGCCCGGCGCTTCTTCTCCACCAGCGGCTTCCTCGTCTGCGGGGACAACAGCGCCGTCAGCCCGCCCCCCGCCGCCCCTCCGGGCCCGGCCCCGCCCGCCGCTCACCCTCCGGTCGCCGCGGGGCCCCGCGCAGCCCTCGCCGTGCGGCGGGCGCTCCGTGCCCGGCGCCATGGCCGCTCCGCTCGCTGCGCGCCGCTCCCGCCCCGCGCCGCCGCTTTTATACCCCGCGATTTGCATGTCAATGAGCCCATTGGCCGCGCCGCGCGGGCCGCGCCGAGCGTTGGCCGAACGGGCCAATGGCGGCCGCGCGCTTTGTCTGCGGCGGGGCGGGGCGGCCGGAGCGGCCCGGCGCTGGGCCCGGGCCCGCAGCGGGCGCGGGCCGTGCCGTGCCGCGCCTTGCCGTGCTGTACCGGGCCGTGCCGCGCCTTTCCGTGCTGTACCGGGCCGTGCTGTGCCGCGCCTTTCCGTGCTGTACTGTGCCGTGCCACGCCTTTCCGTGCTGTACCGGGCCGTGCCGTGCCGCGCCTTGCCGTGTTGTACCGGGCCGTGCCGTGCCGGGCCATGCCGGGCCGTGCCGTACTGAGCCGGGCCGCGCCCCTGCCGGCAGCGTGCCCCAGTGAAGCCCAAAGCCCAGCGCCCGTTCCGGGCCCAGGGCCGCGGAATGCCCGTGTGTGCGCGCCGGGGTGCTCGTGGAACGGAGAGCACAGCGGGGCCGGCTAGCTACCGGCGGGGCATCAGCACCGACCTGGGCGTGCCAGAGTCGGTCTGAGCCGTGACCGGGAAGCCGTGGGACTAAGCAGGCACAGCTGGCCACGGAACCGGTCTTGTCCTGCCCGTGCCAGCGGATGGGGCGGCTCTCGGGCCGGGGCGCGGTGCCAGCCCGGCAGGACGCGCTCCTTGCGGCCGTGGCTGTGCGGGGCTCCGCGGCTGCTCGGCGGTGCAGCGCATCCCCAGCCCCGGGGCTGCTCCCTGCCCGGTGGCCACGGGCAGCGGAGAGCTCGGTGCCGCCCCGGCTGAAAGAGCCGCGCAGCTTTGTGCGGTAACTTGACGCTGATGACAGTTGGCAGCTGCAGTTCCCCGGCAGACCGAGGCAAATAAAAGCATTAGGGCTCGTCCCCGAGGAGAGCGACAGGTGTTCGCTCCCGCTCCTTTGTTTCCCTGCTTTTATTCTCCTCGCTAATGCGTGTCATGTTTTTGCCGCCCGAGGAAACGGGAGACGCGTTCCCCGCTTGCAGCGGCGCTGGCGGCGCGGAGCCGCCCGCTCGCTCCCCTCCTGCTCCGGCTTCCTCCCGGTTTGTCTCGCCGCAGAAAGCCCTTTGCCTTTGCTGGTGCTGAAGCTTTCCTTGCGGAGAGGTCTGATGAGCTGGAGCCACGGCGGGGTGGGTGCCGGGCGGGCCCGGCGGGTACCGGCACCTGCTCCGGGAAAGGCCGGGCTGGCCCTTGCTGCCGGCAGTCCGCCGCTGCTTAGCGCTGCTTTTCATCTTCAAAGCGCCCTGAAAAGCTCCGTGCCTACGCCGTGCTAATCCCTGTGTGACAGGAGAGGACGGAGAGGCTCGGCACTGCCTGCCCAAAGCCATCACGGAGTGCAGAAGGGTAAAGCCAGGCCGTGGGATATCCTGGCTGGACACCTAAGCTTGGGCCACTCTTTGTTTTGTATCACTGTGGACAGGAGGTGTTGTTTTCAGAAAGGTGTTTTCTGGTGTGTTTTGTCCTTTTATGTGAAAGCATCAGTGCTTGGGTTTTGTCAGAGTCTGTTCAGGTGGTGACAAGTTTCCCTGCACCAGGCAGGAGCAGAGTGGGATGTACTGGGGGCTGGATGCCTAAATCTGTCCTTCTGCCTCTGATGCACTGAATTCTCTGCGTGACACAATGTGGCAAGCAGCTCATTCTTTTTGATGATATAACTAATGCTGGCTAAGCAGAAATACTGTTTGGACCAGGCCAAATACAGAACATTCTTGTACTGAAGCAGAGACACCTGTGACCATTCTGTGCCTGGCTGATGCATACTTAGCCTACCTAAGTGGCAGGGGAGAACCATGACTGCGTGCATGCAAACTGCAGCAAAGTAATGGGTGTCACAATTTTGAAGAACTGTCCTTGTTCTGAACCAAAACTAGGCACCTAAGGCATCAGAGGTGTATAAAAATACACAAATGCACACAAACATCCGGTAAATGTGCTGTAACACACAATGTATGTAATTGTTGGTAAAATATGAATTCCAAGCGTTTGTGAGCTTTTTTTCTTTGCAGAGAAAGCTCAGCTTTTCCTAGAATGGGAGTGGGGGGAAGTGGGTGGGCCTGGTTACTGGTGGGGGTAAAAGCAAACCAAACAAATATTCATGTATTCCCTGCTCAAACAGTGAGATTAACACTGGTGTAAATCCTGTGCAGTCCCCAAACCTGCCAGGCCTCTTCACTGCAGGTGTTTGTACCAGCTGTGTTTCACAGCTAACTTGGGTTTGAGGCACTGCTTTGTTAATGTAGAGAAGTGAGAAGGGAAGGAGCTCCCGAATTCACCCCAGTCGAGGTTCAGATGTGTCAGATGAAACTCTGGTGGCTGCTGAACAGCAATGATCTCTCACAAGCCTCCATCTGAGTTTTTGAGCAGTGAGGAGCTGGAGGCACAAGGTGAGCACTTCTGGATGCACGAGGAGACTTCAGCAGCAAATCTTGGCTAAGAACGGCCAGAAAGAGTTGGCCATGGCTGTACCATCCTGTTTCTGCTCTGACTGGGCAGGTGCTGATGGCAAGGCGTTGTACATATTGCTGGCTCTTGTTCTGCAGCGTGTCTTTTTGTATTTTCTTTGAAAAGCTGCAGGTCAAATGAGTTGACAAATGCTGGAGCTGTTTGTGCAGGGCATTAAAAATGCATGTGCCATAAATATCAGGGCATCACTAGAGCTGCTATTCTGGAGGAGGAAGTCACTGCAGGCTATCTCCTCTAGCCCACAGGGACAATGTGACATTTTTGTGCTACTTTAAACAAGTTCCATCACATCAGGTGAAGCGAATCATGGTAATCTCATGCATTTTAATAGAAATGTCAACTGCAATCTAGTGAAAGAGAACATTGCTTAGATGCCTTGTCCAATACCTCGGTGTTTGTCCATGTGTGGTGGCTCCTGAAGATTTCACTAAACCCATCAATTCATCTGTATTTTAACCAGGTTAAGCCCATCCTGCTCCCTGCTGAGGGGATGTGTACAGGCACTGCTTCCTCCTGCATGAAGGGTGGGAGTTTAACCTTTGCTAGAGCAGGGAGCTCTGTCCTGCCAGAGACAGGCTCCTACACAAGCTATAAATGGCAGTTTGGCCAAGGAACAGCATCATTTTAGCAGTGATAATAGAATCTGGGCCTTGCTGCATGTGTTCTCCTGCAAGCCTGTGTGTAGAGTAGTATAACACACTATAAAACAGGCTTTAATTCTTTCTAGGAGGTGCATGAGCACTAATGCAGCTGTGGTGACAGTGGCAAGGGCAATTGTGGGAGGCCATCCTGGAGCCTCAGCTATGTGCCATGCATTTTGGAGACCCAGTTAAGTGCCAGATCCTCATTTCTGACACGTCATAGCCTCGCACGCTTCTGTTTCAGTTGGCAGGTGCATTTGGAAGGTCTCTGTCTCCCAGAAGAGCATTCACAAAGACATAATAAAGCTCAAAGCATTTTTGAGTACTCTACAGGCAAGTGTGTCTGCCATGCATGCCCTTGGACTGGAGTCAGGAGGTGACCCAGGCTCTGTGTGAATAATACAATCAGGGCACGGGATAAAGACATGATGAGCATGCACAAGGTCCATTGGAAATGCTTGAGTAGTTTCTTTCATAAATGGTATAACATCTGTTGTCACTGGAGGCACAAGTTCCTGTCAAAAAGACACGTCATCCTTATAAATATTAATGGTGCATATAAATGGTGGTGGGTGTGAACTGTGGATGTGAGGTTAATGGGTGAGCTGCTCCTTATGCATCAGTTGGCTGCCATCAGACTTATTTCTGCACTAACAAATACAAACTGTTTAGCTGGCAGAGCAAGCCGAAAGCTTTCTTCCCCCTCCTCCTTTCCCTGGGGTCCAGTCACAAATGAAATGTGTACTGTAATTAGTCTCTTGCCTTGTCACTGATGAAGATTAGTCCTGCTTGCAGAGCTGAGGAGCAGAGGAGTGAGGCTGGAGCTGGAAGAGCTGAGGCTGTAGGTGATAAATGGAGTGAATGAGGAAGGCTGTTGGGAGAAGGCTGCAGCATTCCCCATCAGCTGGATCCTAGCTGCCCTCAGTGCCATCGATTTCTCTGCTGTTAATAGCTGATGTTTAAGAGGAAAATAGGGTTGAATATCACCACTGAGCTGCTCTTGGACTCCAGTCTGTTTGTTACTGCAAATTGTGTTTGCTGCCTTGAGCACTGAGTTCCTGCTGCCCTTTTCAGAAACCATAAGGCTTTTCCTATCCTTATTTATTTATCAGCAGACTTGGCAGCAGTGCTAGTGTTCATCAGCTGGGGCACAGAGGAACAGTTCATGCCAGCCAAAACACTAATGAGTAGCGTTCAAAAGGGTCTTATGTCCATTCACAGAGGAGCCCCTCGACTGCATTTGTTCCTGTGGAAGCTGGGGGTCCCTTTTGCCTGAGAAGACGGGCCCAGCCTTCTGTCAAAGGTACTTTGACTTTTTGCCATTTCAGAGGTGGTGATTTCCTAATGGAAGCAATGGTGAGGGGCTGTGCTGAGCAAGCAGAGAGGAGAGCAGAGCCTCTCCCGGTGGTGAGGGATGGATGGGTGCTGTGCACGGGGGCATTGCCCCAGCAAAACCCTCAGTGCCATGTTTCTTACCTTGTCACCCTGCTGGCCTCCTGCAAAGAGAAGCCTGAACTCATAAAGCTTTGCAAACTGCTTCAGCTCCTGCCATTTAGCTGTGGTCTGTCAGTGACTGTGGCAGGATCCTGTTGCAGAGAGCATCGCCTGGGCACATTATGTTTGTGGAAGGTATTTCAGAGGGGTGAGAATAATTGTCTGAAGCAAGTACAGTTGGATAAAAAACTCCAGAGGCTGCCTGTGGTGCTGAAGGGAGCAGTAACATTGTGTTTCCAGGGAAGCCTCTTGTATTTGATGTCTCTAATATTTTTGGTAATTGAAAGTTATCTTTATCATGGGGCTGTCTTCATCATGGGTTTTATGCTATGTTTGTAACAAGGCTGTGTGTATCACAGTCCTCCTCTGCAAGATATTTATATTAGTTCC